ACCAATTCCAATCGGAATCTTCTAAAATAAACCATAATAAAAAGACAATATTTTACGAAAATTCACAATAAAGTAGCGAAAATGGCCGATAGCAAGTGAACAGTTTTAATATCAATACAATGCTAAGGTCTGTACGGATGTTCTCTTGTGGCCTATAATTCAGCAATCAGTAAGTTAGTTTAGATCTTATGACAAACAAATCAGCCATGGATAGATTTGAAGAGTAGTAGTGGTTCACATTTTGCAATAGTTAACCAGAAAACCGTCTTTATGAGTCTAAGTTTTTAGGGTCCTGCTATGGTTCTGCTAAAACCATTTTAATCCCCTTTTAGTAATAATCGACGCCGAGTACATATTTTAATTGAAGTTTGAATAGGTAGCTGTTATTCGTATTTAATTAAAAAGATAAATTTTTATTATATAGTTCAGGTTTTTCTTTGCCTCGGGTTGCCTGGAAGAGATTGCTACGTAGCAATAAGGTCGCCCATTGTAATCTTTCTCTTTTTTTTCTATCTTCTCTGTATTTATGTCCTGTCTACCGTGCAATAAAGAATATTATTATTATTAAATAAACTATTTATTGAATGCGCGACCAAATCAGTTATTTTGTACTTATGTATTTCTGTGGCCCAAAAATATTTTTTTATGGTCACATAATGATTTTATTTGGTGAACTATACTTATAACTGACTATTATATAATTATTTTTTTATTTCATCTGCAACGTGATGCTGGCAACGCGACCCGTCCCACCTGCACCATGTGTCGCGTCGGCACTGTCCCCTGCGGCAGGGGCGCGGGTGGAGGCGGGTCGTTTGAGCGCTATGCTTGTTTGTTTTCGTTCGTTGTAGACACAGAACATAGAGAGAGAATAGAAGTAGTAAGTGGGCGGGGCACGCGTCGCTGGCATATGCGCTTTTACTCATATGACGCCCTTTCCTCGGTTTTATGTTTGCCAGTCGTTCGTCAATCGTCGAGTGGTGATTTTACAGATTTTTTCTATAAAAAATGCCGTTTTGTGCTATTATCACTTGCAAAAAGCAAAGCAAAGTATACAATCTAACTAATGCAAACATTTCCTTTCACTGGTAAGTACAATTTTAGTGCTAAAATATAAAAAACGTAATAATTTGACACAATGTTAAATAAAATATACATTGATTGCTCAAACCAACATCAATGTTTCTGACCCCATTACTAAACAGCAATGTAAATCATTTTGTGCACTTTTGCAAAAAATAGTGCTGTGCCTCCATTTGTCTGAAATGTACCGATAGGCTGCTGCTGCTCGGAATCGTATTGTTAATTATATGGATCGTAATCGATAACTAAAACATATTTATTTAGAGCTTTTCTTTCATCATTTCATAACAACGTTATCGATAAATATATGCCATAATTATATAAAACTAAAAAATACTGTTTACAAGGGAAAATTATAGATGAACTGATACTGAACAAATGAAATAATGAACTGTCCAGGCACTTTTTTTACGAAGATTCGGTTAATTATTTACACGCAGATAAATATTAAAAATTACTGATGTGCTATAAATATCTAAGTTACGAAGTATATCACCGTTTTATGAACAATACATAAATTAAACGAAACTTCGTGAAAAGCTAAGAGTTGGCCTAATAGGTCTTGTTAGAAACTGGTGAAACTGGATTTCACTTATTTTGCATTACTTATATTTCAGTTTCCCTAATAACTTTACAACGGATTGCCTTGTTTACATAATTAATTTTGCCCTATCTGTTTTAGACCTAAACCTATCAAATGAATTTCAAAACAACATAATATCTATACAAACAAAAAATTATGTTTTCAACTAACGTAATATTGTTGGTGGTGTGAATTTAATTTACAAAATTAATTTTTAGGCGTCAATTTAATTTACCTTATTATGCTGATTCATAATCGGAAACTATTATTATAGAAATCGAGTTAAGAAAGCCACTTTAAAGAACCGCCCACAGAACAGCTTTTATCAGTTTTTTTGTTGCTCCATATTTGCACATAAGTTTATAGACGCATGTCTCAAACGGATGTGACTTTATATGTAGATTGACGTTTGTACGTACTTATCGCTTTTGTGTCTATCTTCAAACTTTTTTTGTCACGGCTTTCAAACTCATACTTGACCAGCAATTCCTTATTGTCCAGTCGTTGCAATTAATAATGTAGCTACTACTATTATTACAGATATAAAACTTAGAATAATAAAGTAAAACAAACATGGCTATGATCAATTTATTAGTGTAATGATCATATTAGTTATTATGAAATGAAATGAAAATATCTTTATTCAAGAAGGCTATTACAAGCACTTGGAATGGCAAGTTTATTTTTATTTCTACTTTTTTTTGTGAAGGAATCGTAATGTTTTCTTGCGTACATAATATTTTCATTGATGTATTGAGAGGCAACAGTCAAAATATTTATTTCTTTAAATATTTCTCTGAGAGATTCTCTAGACCGTAAATTATATATAGCGTGGACAGCTCTCTTTTGTAGAATAAAAATATCTTGAATGCTAGCCGCAGAACCCCATAACAATAGATTATACGTCATTCATTACACTATGAAAATAACTAAAATATACCAATCTTGCCGTTTCAACATTTGTTAAGAGTCTAATTTTCTTAACAGCAAATGCTGCAGAACTCAGTCTACTTGACAAATTATCAATATACCAAAATACCAAGGAACTTTGTCGATTCCACCATCTCAACTTTTTCACTATTTACATTTATAAGTATATTAACATGCCTCACATTAGGTAATGCAAACTTTATGTATTTCGTTTTATTTGAATAAAGCTTTAAATAATTACTATCAAACCACTGTAGAAAATTGTCGAACTGAATTACATTGAACTGTTTCATAACAAAATTTAAAGCTCTTATTTTATCAACTAATATGTCACATCACTAATATGCACAATCGGAATGATACCAGTAAGAAAAAAATACAAATTAGGCTTAATGTAATTAATACAAAAATTCTGTTGTTTTCTTAATTTTTGTTTTTTTTACACTTTCCCTCGCTTAATTATATTACTCCACAGACATACGATAGAGTGTATCATTAAGTTTTCTTAGTTTTTGTACTGCGTTTTTTAAAAGATATTTTAATAAATTATGTAGGGAAAAGCCTTAATTTTTCAGTATTCACTTGGTTACAGCAAAATCTAATATTAATAGTTCGCACATAAAATGATGACCCCAATTTTTTTAAATGTGCATAATCTTAAAATATTTTTTTCCTTCTGGTATCCCCATATACAGCCACGTGACAGTTCAACATTCATGTTAAAGTAAATTATTTATTATCACGTTGAATTAGAGTTTGTTTTTAATCGTGTGATTTCTTAGCTTAGTATCTTTTTGGGATTTGATTTATGTTATCGCGAACCTATCGCGTGGCGGTTTTTCATGTAGTGAACAAAATGATCATTTCATCTAATCTGTATTTGTGTGCGGAGAGGCGACACTCGGTTCCCATACTAAATTAATATCATTATACTTCTAATCTCTCTTTATGTTCTGTGGTTGTAGATCATCAGTTTTTTGCCAAGTAGCAAGTAAGACGGTCGACCAAACGCTTACTTAACTTTAATACTCGTATTTCATTATAGAATAGCGTCAATTTAGACTCGCGATAGTGCTATTATAGTCGGTAGTACTTTTGTGTTTGTGTTATAGGTATTTGTGTTTAAATGAATGTTAGGTTAAAAGTATCAGGTAATACTTACGCTATGGTTTGTTAGCCTATTCAATTTTGGTGGCATTCCACGATAACTAGATAGTAGTAGTAGGTATAGTAGTTTATAACTATACGTGATATCTGTTGTTTTTTATTTATTGTATCTTGAATAAATACTTTAAATGTATGTACTTACTTACTATCATGTTGTTTTTACAGAATATGCCTTACAAAATTGTCCAAACCTTAGAGGAAGGTGTGCCCACTCTGTCTATCGCTCCGGCACTGTGGGAAAGTAAGGGCGTCCCACACGGCGGACACATACCTGTTTTTTCCATTATTGTATAGAGTTTCATATCACAAATGCACCTGTAAAAGTTTCACGTGCCAATCTTATTTAGTTTAGGAGAAAAAAAATATTGAAAATTGGCAATTTTTTAGTACCGGAAAATTAAGAAAATATATTGCAAGAAAACTGTACGCGTTTTAAATGCAATGATGTTACACCTAAAAAGATCTCAAAAATTAGCTATATCAGAAACCATTTTGAGCTTTCTAAACTGTACTGTTGCAAAGACATCAATTTTTTTCGATTTTATTTCAAAATTTTTTCCCCGCCGTTTTCAAAAAAATCCGGATCCAATTTTTAGTTTAATCCATAGCATAAGACACTACCTATGTGTAAAAAAAAAATTGCGTCCGTATCTCATGGAAATTCGGAGAAAATTATTGATTGACATTTTTTGTCAGGGTTGCCACCTTTTACCGGTATTTAAAATAATCAATAATTATTCACACTAAGTGTTTAACGAAGTTAAACCGATACGAATCGTAGTCTCGCCCTTTCTTATATACCTCCTACCTTATTGACGACCTCCGCGGTCGAGAGGCGTACGCGCCGGCTTTTAAGGTGACGCTTTCTCTGAGGTCCTGGTTTCGATTCTCGGTCGGGTCAATATAGAAAGCGAACTTTTTGATATTGTCTCAGGTCTAGGTGTTGTGGTACTACTATTGTTTCCGAATACCGTAATACAGGTTGCATTAGTTACTTACCATAGGATCGGATCAATGTATACAATGTTGACCAATATTATTATTTATTCTTATTTACGCAGGTTAAACGGAAATAAAAGGCGTTTAAACAACAAATGGAGGTATTATTTCACGCTTTTCTTCAGGTCAGATTCCAGTGATCGGTTTTATGTGATGCGGGAAGGGGTCCACCCTCGTCAGACGTAAGTTAAAACCCCGCATTGATACATATTGCCTTGGGGGACGGGGGTGAGGCACCATGGAGCCGTTCAAGACCCATGGCGCCATTTTGCCTCAACAGGAGCTAACCCAATCTGTTGAGCGATGTCCATCTGGGCCCCGACCGGAGGACTTAATACAAGAGGGAAATGAGGGCGCCAACCCTCATTCTGGTTGGCGAGTGGCAAGCGATGCTATGGATCACGCCATAGCCGGAACTTCTTATTCTCTGGAAGTGTTCGCAAATACGCGAAGAGAACTGGATGACAACAGGGGAACCAGTGGAAGATCCTCTCAGCAAGACAACAGTGGTGAAGGCGGAAGATCGGACACATCAGTAACACTAACTCGACTAGAAGTTTACAAACTCCTAATTAAGGAAAGCAAACAAATTAATAGTAAATGGCGACCTTTGGATTTACCGGTACCCGATCGATGTGCAGCTGTTTTAAAAGCCCTTGGTGAAGGATATGAACCGTCAATGTCAAATAAAGAGCTAACACGAGCTATTGCTCTGCTTATTACTAAATGCGATGCCATTTATAAGAAAAATCACTACAAAATGAATTTATTTGAAAACGACAAAAAAAGTAAGGATTGGCTTAATACAGTCTTTTTACAAGGCAAGCTTAAAGATACTGAACTATCACCAAAGTCAGTTCAATTCATTAATCTAAGTACACGGCAGCAATTGCGTTGTCAGCGATAGAAATCGAAGCTAATTTGGCTGAAGAGCCTAAGGCAAAAAAAATCAAGGCATTTGTACAATCAATGTCTGGCTCCGATGAAAGTACAAAAATGTCGACTAAAGTTGCGAAGGACTTCGAATTCGTAATTGATCAGTGCTTGCAATCAGGATCAACTACCATTGCGAACAAGATTCGGCAACCTTCACCTCAGCCCTATTCACCACAAGAAGCTTTGGCTGTAATTGTAGACAAAAAATTAACAGTCGACACTTATAAGTTTTTACAAACAGATTTAAAAGAAAGGAATTGTTTGGTATTTCCACCTTACCACAATGTTTTAGAAATAAAAAAATCTTGCTACCCTCTAGAGGAAGTACAAGTCACTGAAATTGAAGCCAGCGTTACTCTGCAAGGACTTTTACAGCATACGTTTGAACGCATTGTAGAATCTTGTGACGCAAATGTATCACAATTTTGTGAACAGAATGCAACACAAGAACTGCACTCTAAAAAATGGAGGCCAACAAAGAGCGATTTTCTCTTGGTTGACATAATATTGAATGAAACAATTATTTATTTATATAAATCAATCAAAGCTGAAACATTGAAACAACTAGTCAAAGTATGGTTAAATTAAAAATTTGGTAACCTTGATTAATTCTATCAAATATATTTATTGTATCCATCATTACTGGATTTTTTTGTGTGAATCAATTATTTTTAATAGTTAAATTTAACGACTAAGTATGTTGAAGCAATTTATACAAATTAATCAAACTAAATAGGTAAAGTATTGGATTAGACGATTTTTATTGTTGCAGTAATAAGTTTCTCGTATTTGATTTAACAAAGAACGTTAATAAAACCACAGAAAACCCTTTGTTTTTAAAATAACAAAGACTATTTGGTCAAATCAACAACGAAAATGTGTCATTGTAACTACTTGACTTTATTGGATAAATTAAAAGTAAATATTTCATTCTACTAAGAATGTATTTGTTAAAATGATTATCATGTTCAGTAGATTTAAATACCTACTTATTTAATGGAACTAAGAAAATGAACGCTACTCCTGCTCTAAATAACGGGAAAGCCAACAAAGAGCGAGTGTGTTGAATCAATCCATACAAACTATTCAAAATAAATAAGTAAAGTAATTGATTGAAAAATTTGAAAATTAATGATATAAAAATAATTATTATTTTTATATCATTAATTTTCAAATTTTTATTAAATAAGTAAATCATTAATTACTGTTATTTTTAGATATTGGAAAAGCTTTTAGTGGAATCGCTTGACGCTGCATCTCTCCTAGCATTTAAAGGTCGCTGTCTTGCAGGAGACAGTGCAAGAAATTTGTTGTCAGCTGTTATTGCAAAGGCAATACTTAATGAAAACAAAAATTCACCAATTAGTGGTGCTATTTATTACAAATGGGCTAACTACATTAAAGAGCTCTTTCCTGCAGAGAGAACAACCACATATTATATCCCAGCGTGCACTACAGCAAATGGTATTGTCCTGCAAGCGAAGGGTAAACTTGTAAATCAAGTACTAAAAAAGCGAAGACACCTACAGAATTTGGGAGCTTTACCAATGGTCAATAGGAAACGTAGTAGAGAAGAGAGCCCTACATATACCGAATCAAACCCGTCTCCAAGGCCCATACCAGATATTTTCATAGGCGAAGAGGATAATGAAGAGGATATAAAAGATGATATACTCTGGCTTGAAAACTCTGCTGATCCTTGGTATTTGGTTGAGGAAAAGTGGCAAAGGACTCAAAAAATAAGAGCCCACTTCTTGTATGGATCAAACGATGCATCAATTGAAACATACTTTGGAAAGTACTTGGCACTAAGACAACCACATGGATATTCTTTGGTAAATAATAATATAGTATTTTAATGTTTTTATATTTATTGATTTACTTGTTTAAACCATATATCTATTTTAGTGATAGCCATGATGTGCATTTTCTAATCTACACTGTACATACATATTAACATTAATTATTTCTTAAATTGAGAAATTATATGTATTTTCCTTAAATTTCTCTAGTCCTTCCTCTTTATTCCATAAACTCGCTCTATAAAACAAAAAAAATCTGTCAAGTGCTTTTGCATTATACATAATAGGTATTATGACTAAAACTATTTTACGGGATTACCTACTTGTAATACAGATTTTAGAGATAAAATTGCCTAAATTGTAGATTGTCTGTTAATGGTAATTAATCTTTTTTTTGTACATTATGCAAAGAATATAATTATTATGTATGTACTTATCTAATGTTAGCTTTGATATTTTTCAGCTTCTTCAAGATTTTAACACTGTGCATGAAACTTATAAGGACTTTATTCATTAATTTTCCATTAAAGAAAATTAAACTTCAGGAAATTTTAAAACAAAAAAAGGCAACAAACGCTTTTTATCAAGAACTTATGACATTGGCCAATTGTAAGTTCCGTTTAACATTACTTATGTAAAATATTCTTAGGTTTACACATGTTTCACTAATTATTAATACATATAATAAAACAGTAATCTAATATAGAGCCATTGTAAAAATAAAACAAATCAACATATTTTTTTTGTCTGTCCGTTTATCTATCTGTTTGTACAGAAAAATTGTTTTACGGAATTACTGGACGGCTTTGAATGAAACTTTTTTGTTGTAGCTATTAAGTGTAGACTTCTCGGCTATGTTTTATTTTGAAGCTCGGAAAATCTAAAATCCACGCCGACGAAATCGCGAGCGGCCACTGGTTTGAAAGACAATTTTGATTTGTTAGTATGTGTGACTTCTTCTTTTCTCGACGTTTCGGCACCTTTGCAGGGGTCGTGGTCACAGGCAGATATGGCAGACTGCAGTCTGCCCGTGATCACAGCTACTGCAAAGGCGCCGAGATGTCGGGAAACCAAGAAGATCTAAGAATAAATCACACGCACTAATAAATCAAGATTGTAAAGACTTATAATAAAGACGCTAGTATTGTTTTTGTACCTGTACTGATATCATAATATGTTTGCAAAAAAATGCTAAAATACTATTTTTTTTCATGGCTATCGATCCTATTTCATGCTTGGATCAAAAGACTATGAGACCATTCAAGGTTTGAGTATAAGAAAAGTCAAAAATCGCCAAAACGTTTCCCATCCATTATTAATTCTGTTAGAAATATTCTTTATTGCTAAAACAACCTATTTCTTCCTGTGATAAAAAGACTCACCAAAATTTGAAATACTAAATACTTAAAAAAAAAAGCATTTGGTCTCCCAAAGTTGCTGGAATTTGAGTACCTACAGAATCTACAGTAACTCATAAAACCGAAGTACTTTACAAGTAGGAATACTCTACTAAGATATTAGAACTACAAAAATTGCAACAACCGTTTCTCTGTTTGTAGGATCTTTAAAATACCTACGCTTTAATCAATTTGAAACATCCACTATTTGAAAAAAGCTTTATTACAATTTTTTTTATAAATTGCTACTAAGAATGTAAAATTATTTTATCACATAGTTAAGCGTAATTTGAAGTTATTCGATTCAAATCCAAAATATAAATATTCTTAAAATATACACATAATATTGTTTTCTCCCAATGTCTCGACTTAATTCTATCCCTTATAATTAGGACTTTATTTATATTTAAGTCTAATTCTAATAAATCGAGAGAATCCCGTATTTCTTTCCAGACCTCAATTCTATACTCCCCATAATACAGAAGATAATACAAAATCGCCGCCAAAGTTACAAAACGGTCTGCGTAGAAACACGTCTTCACATACTTGTCTAAAAAAGGGAGGTCGCAATCGATTGAATACTGTAATATCGATTCTTATGAATAATCTTTTTTTTTAATTTCATTATAAATAAACTATTTTCCTCTAAGTAACATCTAATTATATTCGTAATCTAAGTTTTATAATTTTCGTGGATTTATACGGCTAGTTAATAATATAAGATTTGTATCACATCCGATTAGTCAGAAATAAAATCGATCTTGTTCTTTGAAAAGAGAGGGACTTCTCTAAGAATGACATTATTAATAAGATGCGTTCAAAAATAACATAATTTAAACTGCGTTCTTAAAAATAAAGACATATTTCTTTTCCCAGCTTTTAAAAATAAATTGTTGGTATATAATAATTACATTCAACTCGTACTACATTTTGGTGATAGTTCCATCTTTGTACAAAAACTTTTTTTTCGTAGTCCATTTTGACCATTGTTCTTTAAAATAATGTTTGTTTTTCAGCCAAAACGAATGTTGAAGTGTGAATTGTAACAAAATGTATGAAAAATGTTTTTGACGATTTCTGACGTTCTAGTATTCAATCTTAAATGATTATACTATAGAGTATTTTTATCTCCTCAAGAAATAGTACCTATAGATATAATAAAAAAGTATTTTAGCATTTTTTTTTACAATCTGTGAATGTTGTTCAGGATATGTAACAAAATTATGATTAGTTTCCTAGGAATGTTTTCCTGTAACTATAATGATTATGGTATCTGCCCTTAGTGACTCATCGCAAAAATCCATCCTGTATTTCTAAGTGTTGAATAAAATGTCTTTTAAATTTGTCATTTAATGAACTACTCATTTTTAGCAACAAATGAAGAAATTTCCAATCTAGCCGGATTTCAGACAATACCTTTTTTGTTAAATACTGCTACTATTAAACAAAAGAAAAAGCGCAGTTTGGAAGGAAACCAAAACTGGAAGCCAAGTAAAGCAGAAGTACGAGACGGATTTATCAAGCATGTGAAATCCAGTGCAGACATTAGTCAGTCCATTGGACAACGCTTAGCATCACTCCAAAAGAAAGGATTGCCATCTCAGCCTTATGTAATAGTAGTAGGTGAGTCACTCGAAGAAATTAACTCTTATTAAATTATTGTAAATAGATCAGTGATTTATGAAAGACAGTCTATAATACAAGCAATTGATACATGTTATAAAATAGTATGGGCCTTAAATATAGAGTATGGTACCGACACATACCCAGTGTGGTACTTTATACAACGAGGTCTTTATAAAATGTCATCCCCGTTTGACAAAGGATCAACTGCTACAGAGTCCTTACTCACTGATTGCAATATAGATATGTAAAAGTGTTTTTAGTTAAGTTGAGAAAATTAAAACATATATGTATATAATAAGTACAGAAGTTAATTTAAAGTTTGTGATTGTTATTCATATTTTAATTAATTAAAAGTATATAATACATATAAACAACATAATGTTAACTTGCTTTATATGCCATACAGAACTGCCTGATTTTAAAAAACTCAAATCACACTTTAACTTATTACACACTCCAAAAGAACTCAGTGTATATAAGTGTGTACAAGATAACTGTAATCGTCAATTCCAATTAATTAATTCATTAAGGAGACATATTTTACGGGAACATTCTTCAGGAGACCAAAGTCAAGCCAATTTAATGCAGCCTGATCACGCAGCGACTGATAATTCATCTATTCTATCACCTGCTTTATTTCATGACGTAAATATTCCACCACAACAGTTATCTCAAACTTCAAGTAATTTAGAGACTGTAGAAAATGCTCTGTCGATCTTTATAGCCAGTTTATACGCCAATCAATCACTACCTAGGAATAATATTCAATAATAAAATAATTGACGGCTTTCATAATTTCGTATCAGAAAATTTACTAGTAGCCGTGAAGCAACGCCTTCAAATCTTATCTTCAGAAAGTGTTATTTTACCAAGTAATCTTCAGACCGTCATAGATTCAGTTGAACCATTAATGACAAAACCCTGGTCTATATTTGAAACTGAATACAGGCGAATAAATTATTTCCTTAAAAAACAAACTTATGTGAAACCAGAAACTATTGTAATTGGAGAGAGACTTGAGAAAGTTAAAAGAATGGGTGTTTATCGTCTTGTACCAGTCTCTTGTGAAGAGCATTTTATTCCACTTCATAAAGTGTTAAAATCTTTTTTTTCACTTGAAAATATATTAGCTGATACTATAAATTATATGAACCGTTTGACCGATAATAATGACTCAAATGCAGCAATAGAAAATTTTATACAGGGATCTTTTTGGCGAAATAGAATGAAGTCCAATATAGGAAAAATTGTAATACCGATTTTTATATTTTTTGACGATTATGAAACTGGAAATGCATTAGGATCTAGATCAGGACAGCACAAGTTAAGGGCCGTTTATGCATCTATTCCTTGCCTACCGCCTTGCAGATTATCCACACTCAGCAACATATTTCTGCTTCTTCTATTTCACTCCTCAGACAGAGTTAAATTCGGGAACAAAATTATTTTTCGCTGTGTGATAAATGAATTAAATTATCTTAGTGAGCACGGTATACAATTTGATTTACCTAATTTTACCGGTGTTGTTTATTTTGAACTAGGCCTGATTTTGGGTGATAATCTAGGTATACATGCTATAACCGGTTTCCTGGAGAGCTTTTTCGCAAATTTCCCTTGCAGAACGTGCAAAGTGAGAAAAGAGATATTAAAAACGCAATGTTATGAAAACGAAGACTTGTTACGTACTTTTACTCAATATGAATCAGATCTTTAATTAAATAATCCGTCTATGTCTGGTATCAAAGAAAAGTGCATTTGGCTTGATGTCAAACGTTTTGATTTGTTTAATCAAGTAGGTGTTGATTGTATGCACGACATTTTAGAAGGAGTTGCGAAATATGTCATGCATTTTATTTTACTTCAATACTTAAGACGACTTAAATTATTTACATTAAGTTTGCTTAATGACAGAACTCATGGTTTTGCTTATATGGACCTGACTTTAGAAACCAACCTTGTACTCTCACTATGGAACATTTACTTAATGGAAATGTACGAATGTCAGCATCAGAAATGCTTGCATTTTTGAGATATTTTGGGTTATTGGTAAACGAATTTGTGCCTAGAGGTGACGAAACATGGGAACTATATAAAAAAATGAGAGAGCTTTTGGAAATTGCTTTATCTATGGCATTTGCAAAAGAGACTGAAGAATTGTTACAAGTAACAATAGCAGAGTTTAATGCTATGTATATGTCACTTCCCAAAGATTTTTTAAAACAAAAAATTTCAAAATTTAGTTCACTATCACTCTGCTTTTGTAAAATATGGTCCAATTATCTTTTTGTGGATAATGCGATTTGAAGCAACGCATAGAACATCTAAACTGGCTGCAAATGTATCATTTAAAAAATGTAACATTCACTATAAGTAAGAAACATCAGTTACATTTAAATGAAATTTTTTTGAAGGGTAAATTAGAAGATCTACTGCGTGCTGGCACTGTGGTAAATATATCTCATCATGTAAAACAATACCTTTGTTTCAGTTTTTGTGGTTAATATATCTCATCATGTAAAACAATACAAAGTTTCTTGGGCTACTGTTACTTCAACTCGCTTTTATAGTACAAGTATAGGTTATTATTTGCCAGTATTTTTCAAGTACAAGAAATTTATTTGTATGATACTAAAAATCTCAGGAATTGTTTACAAACATTGGAATTTGATAATCATTTCTGCTGTTTTAAAGTTAAGGAAACAAACACTGAACGAAAGTCTATCAAATTTAAATCATTAGTATCTCCGATACCATGTAATATAAATATTTTAAATAGTGGTAAAAAATATATGACATTGCGCTGTAACATTTGAAATAAATACTCTTTTTAGAAATAAAATATACTGTTTTAATTTCATACACTACCATGCCGTAGTAAAATCAATCAATATAACTATCATTCCACAACACATTGACATTTAGGTCAAGAGTATTTTCAATTTGTTATTGGACATAGATCTTCGTTTTCACCAATTTTTTACTTATAATAACTAAAAAACTTGAACAATAATAACTTAATCATAAAAGGCAGCGACCATTTTATGATTATTTAATTATTATTGGAAAAAAGCGATGGTCTCTTGGTTGAATATAAAATATGGTTGATTTAACTAATTCCGAATTAGAATCTTGGTTATACACTTCTCAGCAGCTCCGGCGGTAATCGAACCCGCGACCTTTCAAAATCCGGGTGAGTGCTCTGACTGAGCGCCTCCGTGGCTCATCCGGATTGCGAAAGATCGCGGGTTACAATTTCCTTCGGAGCTGCTAAGAAGTGTATACCAAGATTCTAATTCGGAATTAGTTAAATCAACCATATTTATATCCAACCAAGAGGTTCATTATGGTTATATTGACCAACCTCTTGGTTGAATTACCATTGGTAAATTGGTTAGTATAATCATATCTTATGTTTAAATTAAAAAACCTCTTGGTTAAGTTAACTTCGGTGAATAGGTTACTATAATCATATTACATGGTTAAATTGATTAACTTCTTGGTTGTATTACGTTGGTGAATTGGTTAATATAATCATGTTTCTCGGTTAAATTGACCAACCTCTTATTTGAGTCAATTTCGGTTAATTGGTTAGTTTAATCATACACTAGCCACAGAAAGTTTGGAAGCACCCGCAAATTTTGCTAAATAAAATAACAACTTTGGTATAACCGATTTTATCTATGGTGTACTTAAATATGCCGTAATTTAAAATCTTTCTATAGTTTTTTTATTAAAGTTGGTGATCATTTCGGGTAAATATTTAAGAAAAATTAAAAAACTATTATTTAACAGTTATGGTTTATTTTGCTGAGTACCCTCTAATATTTTTATTTTCGCTTCGTATTTGTTTTACTTAGTCAGTATTCATTGCGAGCACTGTTCCGATTGTGATAAACTAATTGATTGGCGTTTATATTTAGTTTTTGCTGCTTTTACGACCGTATTCTTTCGATACTCATATTTTTAAATATTTTCCGTTCAAAATGGGAAAAGGAAAACAGTTACCTATTGAAACTCGTTCAGCTATTATTGTGTTGAGAAATGAAGGCATTTCTGAGAGAGAAATTGCCAAAAAACTTGGTATTTCGCCTAAGAGGGTACATTATACCCTTGTAAGACATCGGGAGACGGGCAGTTTATCGGACAGAAAACGGAGCGGCAGGCCAAAAATCACTTCTGAAGCAGAAGACCGGTTTATTATAACAACCTCGAAGCGAGATCGTCGACTTACAGCACCAGACATCACACGGGAGTTGAATAAAACGCGAACAAAAAAAGTGTCAGTTTCTACCGTGACGAACCGTCTTTTATCTGCTGGTCTGAAGGGGTGCGTCGCCGCGAAAAAAACCATTATTACGACCCATACACAAGAAGAAACGTCTGCAGTGGGCAAAACAACATGAACATTGGACAATTGAACAGTGGAAAACAGTGTTATGGACCGATGAATCAAAATTTGAAATTTTCGGATCTAATAGGAGAGTCTTTGTCCGCCGCAGATCAAATGAAAGGGTGTCTGAGGCCTGTTTAGTGTCATCAGTAAAACACGGTGGTGGCAATGTTTTAGTCTGGGGCTGTTTTGCTGGAGCAGTCGTCGGGGATCTTGTAAAAATTGATGGTATTATGAGGAAGGAGCAGTATCTACAAATATTACAAAATCATGCTGTGCCTTCAGGAACACGTATTGTAGGTGAACCGTTCGTGTTTCAGCAAGATAATGACCCGAAGCACTCGGTACAAATATGCAAAGCCTTCTTAGAAGAACAAGAATCAAACGGTATTATTGAATTGATGAAGTGGCCCCCACAATCACCTGATCTATCACCTATTGAGAAATTATGGGATGAATTGGACCGAAAAGCCAAGGAACGTTTGCCACAGAATACTAGACAACTGTGGCAATACCTACAGGAAGCTTGGAAAGAAATTGACGCAGAATACTTGAACAAATTATTGGAGAGAATGCCTAGAATCTTGGATTCCTTCCATTTTTTCTGATAATTTTCATTAATAAAAAGACACTTTTGACCATGAAAAAAGTCATAACTTTGTTCCTTACCATCAGATATTAATAAAATTTAATCCAGAACTATTATGATGCAATTATAGTATTGATAAAGTTACAAAAGGGATACTCGATTCCTTCCATTTTTTCTGATAATTTTTATTAATTAAAAGCCACTTTTGACCATGAAAAAAGTCATAACTTTATTCCTTACCATCAGATATAATAAAATTTAATCGGAACTATGTTATGATGCAATTATAGTGTTGACAAAGTTACAAAAGGGATACTCGATTCCTTCCATTTTTTCTGATAATTTTTATTAATTAAAAGCCATTTTTGACCATGAAAAAAGTCATAACTTTGTTCCTTACCATCAGATATTAATAAAATTTAATCCAAACTATGTTATGATGCAATTATAGTCTTGACAAAGTTACAAAAGGGATACTGGATTCCTTCCATTTTTTCTGATAATTTTATTAATAAAAAGCCATTTTTGACCATGAAAAAAGTCATAACTTTGTTCCTTACCATCAGATATTAATAAAATTTAATCCAGAACTATGTTATGATGCAATTATAGTCTTGACAAAGTTACAAAAGGGATACTCGATTCCTTCCATTTTTTCTGATAATTTTCATTAATAAAAAGACACTTGACCATGAAAAAAGTCATAACTTTGTTCCTTACCATCAGATATTAATAAAATTTAATCCAGAACTATGTTATGATGCAATTATAGTATTGAAAGTTACAAAAGGGATACTCGATTCCTTCCATTTTTTCTGATAATTTTTATTAATTAAAAGCCACTTTTGACCATGAAAAAAGTCATAACTTTATTCCTTACCATCAGATATTAATAAAATTTAATCCAGAACTATGTTATATGCAATTATAGTGTTGACAAAGTTACAAAAGGGATACTCGATTCCTTCCATTTTTTCTGATAATTTTTATTAATTAAAAGCCATTTTTGACCATGAAAAAAGTCATAACTTTGTTCCTTACCATCAGATATTAATAAAATTTAATCCAGAACTATGTTATGATGCAATTATAGTCTTGACAAAGTTACAAAAGGGATACTCGATCCTTCCATTTTTTCTGATAATTTTCATTAATAAAAAGACACTTTTGACCATGAAAAAAGTCATAACTTTGTTCCTTACCATCAGATATTAATAAAATTTAATCCAGAACTATGTTATGATGCAATTATAGTATTGACAAAGTTACAAAAGGGATACTCGATTCCTTCCATTTTTTCTGATAATTTTTATGAATTAAAAGCCACTTTTGACCATGAAAAAAGTCATAACTTTATTCCTTACCATCAGATATTAATAAAATTTAATCCAGAACCATGTTATGATGCAATTATAGTGTTGACAAAGTTACAAAAGGGATACTCGATTCCTTCCATTTTTTCTGATAATTTTTATTAATTAAAAGCCATTTTTGACCATGAAAAAAGTCATAACTTTGTTCCTTACCATCAGATATCAATAAAATTCAATTCAGAACTATGTTATGATGCAACTATAGTGTTGACAAAGTTACAAAAGGGATACTCGATTCCTTCCATTTTTTCTGAAAATTTTTATTAATTAAAAGCCACTTTTGACCATGAAAAAAGTCATAACTTTATTCCTTACCATCAGATATTAATAAAATTTAATCCGGAACTATGTTATGATGCAATTATAGTATTGACAAAGTTACAAAAGGGATACTCGATTCCTTCCATTTTTTCTGATAATTTTCATTAATAAAAAGACACTTTTGACCATGAAAAAAGTCATAACTTTGTTCCTTACCATCAGATATTAATAAAATTTAATCCAGAACTATGTTATTATGCAATTATAGTATTGACAAAGTTACAAAAGGGATACTCGATTCCTTCCATTTTTTCTGATAATTTTTATTAATTAAAAGCCACTTTTGACCATGAAAAAAGTCATAACTTTATTCCTTACCATCAGATATTAATAAAATTTAATCCAGAACCATGTTATGATGCAATTATAGTGTTGACAAAGTTACAAAAGGGATACTCGATTCCTTCCATTTTTTCTGATAATTTTATTAATTAAAAGCCACTTTTGACCATGAAAAAAAGTCATAACTTTGTTCCTTACCATCAGATATAATAAAATTCAATTCAGAACTATGTTATGATGCAACTATAGTGTTGACAAAGTTACAAAAGGGATACTCGATTCCTTCCATTTTTTCTGAAATTTTATTAATTAAAAGCCACTTTTGACCATGAAAAAAGTCATAACTTTA